AAATATAAGAACTTCATTTGAACGGTTTTGCGAAATTTTGAGTTTTACCGGAGTTATAGGGGTCAAAACATGGCATTTTTGACACTTTTTCGAAAAAGTTGCACTCAGTCATTAATTCATAACTTCGGAACGGTAAGAGATATCTTTATGATGTTTTCACTAATCGCTCAAGAATTATTATGGCTTTCCATAAAAAAATGTAAAAAAAATTAAAATTTATTTTTCTTAAAAATAAATCAAAATTTTTTTAGTTTTTATTTTTTTCAGTGTTCTTCACCAGCTATAGAGTTTAAAACCATTTGAAAATGAAGTTTGATTCATTACGAAAAAGATCAAAAAAAAAAAGAGTGGCCCGGCCAAAGGTTTTTCGCAATATCGATTTGAAGAAGGGCGCACAGCGGTTTTCCATACAAAAACGGCTTGCTCATGAAAATTGGCTGGTCAACACATGCCGTTGCGCGCGTAGCGTCAGCCGACTGCAGCTGTCAATGAGGCACTTCTTGTCGTTTTGTATGGAAAACCGCTGTGCGCCCTTCTTCAAATCGATATTGCGAAAAACCTTTGGCCGGGCCACTTTTTTTTTTTTTGGATCTTTTTCGTAATGAATCAAACTTTATTTTCAAATGGTTTTAAACTCTATAGCTGGTGAAGAACACTGAAAAAATAAAAACTAAAAAAATTTTGATTTATTTTTAAGAAAAATAAATTTTAATTTTTTTTTTTTTATGGAAAGCCATAATAATTCTTGAGCGATTAGTGAAAACATCATAAAGATATCTCTTACCGTTCCGAAGTTATGAATTAATGACTGAGTGCAACTTTTTCGAAAAAGTGTCAAAAATGCCATGTTTTGACCCCTATAACTCCGGTAAAACTCAAAATTTCGCAAAACCGTTCAAATGAAGTTCTTATATTTTCGTTGTGAACCGGAAAAGTAAAAAAGTTCGATGAAAATCGGACCTTCGGAACAGGGGTGGCCCACTTGGCAGATTTTGACTCAATTCCTTTCTATCTTCAATTTAACTTCCAGAAGTGAATTGGAAGATGTTTTTTTCCCATTGGTTTTGTTTTTGTAAAATGTGTTCTATCGCCTTTTCATCGCCAAAAAGTGTCTCAGAAGTTACTTCTTCGCGATAGCAAGCCTTCTTAGGTAGTCAAATGTTATCTATCGCCATTCTATCGTCCAGAAGTGCCTCAGAAGTTACTTCCTCGCGATTTGAACACTTTTTGTTTTTGTAAAATGTGTTCTATCGTCTTTCTATCGCCTAAAAGTGTCTTAGAAGTTACTTCTCCACGATCGTGACCCTTTTTGTTTTTGTAAAATGTGTATTTTAATCGTCCGGAAGTGACTAAGAACTGACTTCTTAGCTATAGATGTATATTTTGTTTTTGTAAAATGTGTTCTGTCGTGTTTCTATCTTCCAGAAGTTACTACTAATGATTTCAGACTTGCAGGGTAGCTTCAGTAGTGTAGAACTTACAAACTAACAAAATTTAGCTATTTTTAGCTTTTTTCCCGCTAAAGCAGCGGGTTTTTCCTAAAGTCGTGAAACAAAAGTTTCCTATTTGGAAGTCCTTAAAACTATTTAAATGATTCCATGATCCAACAATACAATTTGGATACGCACAGACAAGCTCAGAAAGCGTTACTTATTCTGAGCTAGAAAAAGTGCCTATTTTTGTTTTTGAATAACTTTTGAACGCGCCATACACCAAAATTTGGTGTATGTAACCAAGAAAACCATTAGAGACGTTTTTAAGAAATTAAAAATAAGCTAAAAAATATTATTTTAAAAAATTTTAGTTTTGCCATAATTTTTTAAATGGTTGTATGTCGACAAATTACGCTCAAAAGTCGTTTATAGTTTCAAAACAAATACGGCCTTTCGAAATTTCGCCATTAATAGCTGTTTTCCCGCTAATTTAGCTAGTTTTTCCAAAATAGTAGTAGTGTTGCCGCCCTGTGTATTTAAAAGTTTGATGTTGCAACTTTTTTTATCCAATTAGTCTAATAGTAAAATTATAATCAATACAATATTACCAGGAAAAGATCGATTACAATTTGTGGGGTTTGAAAGATAAAGAGTGTATCTTTTAAAAAACTTTAACATCGAATCAAACCATGCATCCATTTGCCTCTGAGAGCTCCGCAAAGTTGGCCAATTTCAGAATTTTTCGAACTTTGAGGTCCTTTTGCTAAGAATCCTTGCGTCGGGGAACTTTTTGGAAAACGCAGTTTATCTTGGGAATTCGTAAGGAAACCAAAAATATAGCATTATTTTGTAAACTGGTGAAATGATTATTTCTGAGTCTTTTGAATATCGCTTATAATGATTACGGTCCCTGATGAAAACTAATACACAAAATTGCTGTTGTTCAGTTGGGGACGTCTGACTGTTAGATGGAGCGATTAGGCAAACTCTGCGAATCCGATTTCCCATTCAAGAAAAACACATAAGTTGTTGAGACGAATGCAGTAAACGGAGAAGCATATTATGTATCTATGTATATTTTTCTTCTTTCGATTAAATTGTATACACTCGTTCATTTATATATTTAATTTGTTCCATTTAATTGTAGTTATCCAGTGATTTACAAAATATGTTACAAATATTAGAGAACATTATAAAATGAAACCGGGAAACACGGAAATAATGATTTCTTGCTGGTACAAAAGCAGACACAAATTATACAGTACTCAATTAACGTAATGTTGAGATAGAAATCGTTACTATTAAACTTATAGAGTTTAATGTCTTTTAAATTAATATAGCATAATGGGATACAATTTTTGATTTTGAATTAGTGAACACGTAAATGTACAAATTAACAGTTAAGTATGTGTGTGGGGGGCTTGTTTGTGTGGGAGATGGAGTTGACTTCGAATCGATCGTGTGGCCAACTTGATGTAGTGTCTGTTTAATGTTTGTTGTTCTTGGAGAAATTTATCGAGGCCCAGTTAAGGGAAGTCTTCCAGGAGTTGGCCAAAGCTTCGCTGAATTTCGTTCGGAGATGTTCGCGTGCTTTCTCCTCCGAGTAGTCCAGCGCCTGTAACAGAATATTGGCATGAGTTAATTCGAACATTTAAATAGTTTTCTATGACTCACTTAAGTTTCACGTAGGTAGTTTGAATCCTTTTCGGAGGAAAGTTCTGGCAGTCCCGTTGAAATCATCATTGAGAACAGCCATAAAATAAGGCAGCCGTGTTTCCGTAAAACTAGAAAGGCCTGAAAATGTAAATAATATCACTATGGACGGCAGTCCATGTAGTGACGAAGCGCACCAGGAGAGTGTGCGAAGGCGACTACTATATATACACGAAGAAATGAAAATCTACTGTAATGGTCTGATCATAATGAATGATACACCTATCGAAAGGTATTGCGAAAACTAACAGGATTGCATACCAAGACTCTAAGAAAATCAATTGGCTTGGGAGAGAGAGCGGTGACAGTGAAAAAGTGAAAATTTCGAAATTTGGAGCTGTTGGGGCCGGTGGGGATAAATGCCCCCTCGTAATGTTTTAGTTGTATTCCTTTTGAAAATACCCGTCGAATGAGGGGTCACTTGTCAAAATCCGACGCTCCGTTATAGCTAAAATAAGATTTTCTTCTTCTTCCCAAAATGAAAATTTAATTCTGTTTGTCAGTTTGTCAGTTTGTCCAAAATATGTTTTTTAAGTTCTGAAAATTTGATATGACGTTTATCACATCGATATAAAAAACTTTTGTTCTACCACTTTTGGAAAAACCCGCTAGTTTAGCGGAAAAAACAGCTATAAATAGCTAAAATTCTGAAAGCCGTAACTTCTATACTAAAGCTACAGACTTGTGCTGCATCTCGTTTGAAAGGTATTTTTAAATGCTATAAGCGCCTTCTATATGCAATTTGTGTAAATGTAATAGTTAAAAAGATATGAACAAAAGAAAATTTGTTTAAACTTTTTTTTTAGCTTTTTTTTAATTTTCTCAAAAACGGCTCTAACGATTTTCCTTACAACTTTAAACTGTATAGCCCTTGAGATTCCTTAAATTTTGGTATATATCATGTTTATGTAAAAAATCGCGTTTAAAAGTTATTCAGAAACGAAAATAGCCACTTTTGCCAGCTCAGAACAACTAACGCTTCCTGAGTGTTTAATTTTGTGCGTGGGTATCCAAATTGTATTTTAGGCTCATAGAATCATTTCAATTGTTTTAAGGAGTTCCAAATAGGAAACTTTTGTTTTACGACTTTTGAAAAAACCCGCTGCTTTAGCGGAAAAAAAGCTAGAAATAGCTAAATTTCGTTAGTTTGTAAGTTCTACACTACTGAAGCTACAGACATGTGCTATACCTCGTTTAAAATGTATTTTGAAATACTTAAACGCCTTTTTAACTTAATGTGTTTAAATACAATTTAAATTTAAATGTATATACTAGCTCCTATGAGAGCAAATATAAACAAACAAAAACTTCTGATATCAAGTAAAAACACCTCTTACCGAGGTAAAAAACTAGTGACGATCGCACCTTCAACATACAAAAGTTCTGATATCAACATTTGTGACGAAAAATTATTACACTCGTCATTAAATACACTTTCTAAGATTTTCTCATTCGGCACGCTGCAATAGAAAATGCCTATGAAGGTAAAAAGGCTAAAATAGTATGCTAGGGCGGGCCGAATGAGAAAATATTAGAAAGTGTATTTAATGACGAGTGTAATAATTTTTCGTCACAAATGTTGATATCAGAACTTTTGTATGTTGAAGGTTTTTCAAACTTTTCAAACTTCACTAGTTTTTTACCTCGTTAAGAGGTGTTTTTATTTGATTAGTATTTCTCATAGACTTACGCGCTCGCACAATTCCTGAAAGTGACAAAACTCTTTTGACTCGCGGTCATTGAAACCCTTGTTGATCACGTACACAAAATCATGGGTCAACACGAAGGGCACTCGGTCCCGACGGACTCCAAACTTTTCCTTGAAATGGCCCAGGATGTGGCCAAAATCGATGTGAAAGAGCTGAGGTTAAGCTGACGTTTTAAATAATTTCCCCGTCAAATTATCGCATTTCACCCACCTGTCCATTTCTTTTGACCATTATATTGTCCGAGTGCCGATCGGCCACTCCGAGCACATAGGTGGCCACGCAGTAGCCAGCACAGCTGAGGGTGAACTCGATGATGGCCTTGTTTAGCTTGTCGGCGGGCTTGTTGTGCAAAAAATAAAAGCAGCGCGCGGAAAAGAAGAGAAATACAAAGAAAGTTTCGTTATTAGAATAAAACGAAGCGTAATCAACCAAATGTCTTGGGTGGGATATGCAAAATCTATAGAATAGGGTTTATTGGGGGAGCATTGCACAGTCCACCAATCTAGAGGCTATAGGGAAACGCCCAATTAAATGGTGAATCCCTCAGAGTAAATTCCTCCACTTACCCCTCTGTAAGTAATACTGGTTGCAGTGGCGTCGCCGACGCCGCCGGATGAACGCTGCTGCTCGCCTGGCTGGGCGTGGAGATCACCTCTAGAAAGTGCTTTACCGCATCAACATGCTGCCTTGTGCAGAACTTCTTGTACAGCTCGACGGTGAACACTTCCTTGCACTCCTGTTGCGATGACCGGGAGCTGACCAGGTTACCCAGCGATTGGATCGTCTTGGAGATTAGGGTCAGCGTGCGACTCGTCTGGGCATCCTGTGAATAACAAAGAATTATTATGCTTGAACATGAGAGATTGAACTGAATTACTCAAAGCTTATAAATATTCCCCTGTTTCCCCAGAATCTACTTACCAGGCGCTCGGTAGTCAGGTCGAAGAGCTTGGGTCCCAGAATCGCCGGTGCAAAGAAGCACAGGAAGATGAAGCCGGACACCACGGAGTATCGCACCTCTCGATTGCTGGGGAAATGCTTACCCGCACACTTTGCGATCGCCTCAAAAACCCGCTCCACATAGCCTCTGTGCGTCATGGAGCGGGGCTGCAGGTAATACCAGGCCGATGGGGAAACCGCCTGCTGCTCCTGCTTATTGAGCATTGGAAGCCGCACTTCGCCGAGGAATACTTTATCGGACATCGCTTCATGGGCATCGTGCCAAATGCTCACCACTATCTCCACCAGATCCGCTCCGCCCTGCGGGTATATGGCGTAGCCCTTGTTGGCCGGGGATTCCAGGGAACCGGTGCTCTTATTACTCGCTGTGGTGTTTGTGCTGCCCGCTTCGGCATCGATATGGAGATCAAAGTACATGGCCTCGTCGAACTCCGGATCAATGGTCTTCTTGCGCTGCTTGGTCCGTCGCGTCACCTGCTGCTTGTTGCTGTAGTGGGCGGTGCAGACCACAAAAGGATCGCAGGTGCCCTGCTTCTTGGCGAGATCCACACAGGCTGGCACTTTGATGGTCACGCCAACGAATCTCCCGTGTAACTTCCAAGGAAGAGGCCGCCGCCCGCTGAATGTTGCACAGTTCGCTATTCTCCTTGTAATCGTTCAGATGCGCCCGCTGCTGGTTGCTGTGGTGGCTGTTGTGGTGGTGCGGCAGGTGCTGGTGGTGCGGCAGTGTGTGCTGGTCCAGATCGATGCTCTTCGAAAGAGACTGCGTCTGTTGGGCTTCCGCAAACGACACCTCCACATCGGCCATGCCCTGAAAAATTTATATGGTAAATATTTAACGTACTAAATGGTAATGATAAAGATTATAGTGCATGTACATCTAATAACTTTTATATTCACAATTTATCAAACTTAACGACTAAACTCCCTGACACACAAAAAAATTTGCTTGGTAAAACTAACCAATATAGTTCAGTAATTATAAACAAGAAAGGAAGCTAGCTTCGGCCAGCCGACGCCTATATATACATATATATATATATATATAACCTATAGGTTACTTTTAACTCCCTTGTATTGGTTTTGCCATTTGTTCCATTAAGGGCCGGTTTCTCGAGTGCCGGCTAACATTTCTCGAACAGATAAAGTCCCTGCTAAGGCATTTTGACTTTCTCGAGCATCAATGTGAGAGCTAACTTTGACAGGGACTCGGAGTCCCTGTTAAGCGTTTTCGGCTCGATAGAATGACAGCTGATTTCTTAAAGCCAACTATGAAGAAGAAACGAAATTACAGCTGACTTTTCCTTAGAATTATACCCAAACAGCTGATGAAATAATCGAAGCAGGCCATTTTTCGCGCTTTACAATACAATTCTGTGCGTTAACAGCACTCTGTAATTGTTTCTCGTTCAGATAAATTAAAGCAGTCGAGAAAGCGTATTTGCTTTTATAGCAAATCCGGGGACTTTGACAGGGACTCGAGAAACCGGCCCTAAGTTGTTAAATATGTACAATCGATCAAAAGTGTGGCCGACTTGATGCAGTGAAAAGAGAAAATCAAATCAAATCGAATGCTGAATTAAAAAAATAAAAGTCTTCAGCCGAGGCTGGGAAAATGATAAATGCGAAATGAAAACAACGCAAAATGTATGTTTTTTCGAGCATAGTTACTTTTTTTTATCTACACGCATAATTCGTATATATAGGGGAGAGGTCTGTAGGTTGGTACACCTTTTGCTTTTAATCTGCCATTTCGACATTCACTTATGAAACTTTACGCATTTGGTACTGATCGAAAGGTTATTCTATTAGCCTAATAAAAAACAAAAAAAAATATTTTTTTCCTTAGGGAAAACTGAAAAATTATTTTTTTTGAAAAGTCTTACAAAACCGACATTTTGAAAAAGAGGTCTGTAAGTTGAGACACTTTTAAAAGTCAATAATACTCACACAAAAAGTACTCCAAGCTATAAGGAACTATTTATTTATGTAAATTTAATCAATTTTAGTTCGTCCTAAATTATTTCCCATCCATTTTTTAAGAACTTAGACCAAATAACAATTAAAATCAAAAGGCTCTTTGAACATTCACTTTTCCCCTAATATCAAAGAAATTTACTAGGCAGAAAGCGACCTCTGTTGGCCTAAGGCCTTTTGTATGAAAAACGGGTGTCTCAACTTACACGCTCAAAGTGTCTTAACTTACACAAAATGGGATGTTTCGGGAAAAAATTAATAACTTTTGTTCTGACTGTCACATTAAGCTGATTCTTTTTATACCCTTGCAGAGGGTATTATGATTTCAGTCAGAAGTTTGCAACGCAGTGAAGGAGACGTTTCCGACCCCATAAAGTATATATTTTCTTGATCAGCATCACAAGACGAGTCGATCTAGCCATGTCCGTCTGTCCGTCTGTCCGTCTGTCTGTTTCTACGCAAACTAGTCTCTCAGTTTTTGAGCTATCGGGACGAAACTTTCTTTCTATTGCAGGTAGTATATATGTCGGAACCGACCGGATCGGACAACTATATCTTATAGCTCCCATAGGAAGGAAACGCTAAAAAAATTCTAGCTTCGGTGTTTTCTCAAATATTATCTTCTACTCTTGGGAATATTATTTTTTATATGTTTCTGAATTTTGAATTAAAAAAATCGGATCACTATATCATATAGCTGCCATAGGAACGGTGGAAAAATTAAATGTAAATTAATCGGAAAAAAATTATATCTTTGTTGATTTTTATTACATTCTCTTCTACTCTGGGATATGATTATTTTTAAATATTTCCGAATTTCGAATAAAAACACCTCTTAACGAGGTAAAAAACTAGTGACGATCGCACCTTCAACATACAAAAGTTCTGATATCAACATTTGTGACGAAAAATTATTACACTCGTCATCAAATACACTTTCTAAGATTTTCTCATTCGGCACGCTGCAATAGAAAATGCCTATAAAGGTAAAAAGGCTAAAATAGTATGCTAGGGCGGGCCGAATGAGAAAATATTAGAAAGTGTATTTAATGACGAGTGTAATAATTTTTCGTGACAAATGTTGATATCAGAACCTTTGTATGTTGAAGGTTTTTCAAACTTTTCAAACTTCACTAGTTTTTTACCTCGTTAAGAGGTGTTTTTATTTGATTAGTATTTCTCATAGACTTACGCGCTCGCACAATTCCTGAAAGTGACAAAACTCTTTTGACTCGCGGTCATTGAAACCCTTGTTGATCACGTACACAAAATCATGGGTCAACACGAAGGGCACTCGTTCCCGACGGACTCCAAACTTTTCCTTGAAATGGCCCAGGATGTGGCCAAAATCGATGTGAAAGAGCTGAGGTTAAGCTGACGTTTTAAATAATTTCCCCGTCAAATTATCGCATTTCACCCACCTGTCCATTTCTTTTGACCATTATATTGTCCGAGTGCCGATCGGCCACTCCGAGCACATAGGTGGCCACGCAGTAGCCAGCACAGCTGAGGGTGAACTCGATGATGGCCTTGTTTAGCTTGTCGGCGGGCTTGTTGTGCAAAAAATAAAAGCAGCGCGCGGAAAAGAAGAGAAATACAAAGAAAGTTTCGTTATTAGAATAAAACGAAGCGTAATCAACCAAATGTCTTGGGTGGGATATGCAAAATCTATAGAATAGGGTTTATTGGGGGAGCATTGCACAGTCCACCAATCTAGAGGCTATAGGGAAACGCCCAATTAAATGGTGAATCCCTCAGAGTAAATTCCTCCACTTACCCCTCTGTAAGTAATACTGGTTGCAGTGGCGTCGCCGACGCCGCCGGATGAACGCTGCTGCTCGCCTGGCTGGGCGTGGAGATCACCTCTAGAAAGTGCTTTACCGCATCAACATGCTGCCTTGTGCAGAACTTCTTGTACAGCTCGACGGTGAACACTTCCTTGCACTCCTGTTGCGATGACCGGGAGCTGACCAGGTTACCCAGCGATTGGATCGTCTTGGAGATTACGGTCAGCGTGCGACTCGTCTGGGCATCCTGTGAATAACAAAGAATTATTATGCTTGAACATGAGAGATTGAACTGAATTACTCAAAGCTTATAAATATTCCCCTGTTTCCCCAGAATCTACTTACCAGGCGCTCGGTAGTCAGGTCGAAGAGCTTGGGTCCCAGAATCGCCGGTGCAAAGAAGCACAGGAAGATGAAGCCGGACACCACGGAGTATCGCACCTCTCGATTGCTGGGGAAATGCTTACCCGCACACTTTGCGATCGCCTCAAAAACCCGCTCCACATAGCCTCTGTGCGTCATGGAGCGGGGCTGCAGGTAATACCAGGCCGATGGGGAAACCGCCTGCTGCTCCTGCTTATTGAGCATTGGAAGCCGCACTTCGCCGAGGAATACTTTATCGGACATCGCTTCATGGGCATCGTGCCAAATGCTCACCACTATCTCCACCAGATCCGCTCCGCCCTGCGGGTATATGGCGTAGCCCTTGTTGGCCGGGGATTCCAGGGAACCGGTGCTCTTATTACTCGCTGTGGTGTTTGTGCTGCCCGCTTCGGCATCGATATGGAGATCAAAGTACATGGCCTCGTCGAACTCCGGATCAATGGTCTTCTTGCGCTGCTTGGTCCGTCGCGTCACCTGCTGCTTGTTGCTGTAGTGGGCGGTGCAGACCACAAAAGGATCGCAGGTGCCCTGCTTCTTGGCGAGATCCACACAGGCTGGCACTTTGATGGTCACGCCAACGAATCTCCCGTGTAACTTCCAAGGAAGAGGCCGCCGCCCGCTGAATGTTGCACAGTTCGCTATTCTCCTTGTAATCGTTCAGATGCGCCCGCTGCTGGTTGCTGTGGTGGCTGTTGTGGTGGTGCGGCAGGTGCTGGTGGTGCGGCAGTGTGTGCTGGTCCAGATCGATGCTCTTCGAAAGAGACTGCGTCTGTTGGGCTTCCGCAAACGACACCTCCACATCGGCCATGCCCTGAAAAATTTATATGGTAAATATTAAACGTACTAAATGATAAAGATTACAGTGCATGTACATCTAATACCTTTTATATTCACAATTTATCAAACTTAACGACTAAGCTGCTCTTGCTTATTGAGCATTGCCGTCTGCGGCAGATGCTGGTGGTAGGTGAGATCTAACAGAGAATCCAGCACACTCATGTTCGACATGATCAGCGTGTGGATGCGCTGCAGATCGAGCGGTGGATCCAGGGCCGTTACAAAATCCATCTGGAAGTAGTCCATCTCCTTGTCCGACACGTTCTTGCAGCCAGGGGAATTCTCATCCGAGCGGCCGCAGCAGCTGTAGAAGCCACTGACAAAGGCCGAGGGATGGAAGTACTGCATCCGGATAGAGTTCATCAGACAGATCTTGTGCAGCAGGTCGAACCACTCGCGTTCCTCCACGCAGTTCGTTGTCTGCACAATCAGCGAGCGATCGTTGTGTACAATCTGTGGGAGAAGAGGCGAATGTAAATCTTAGTCTCATCTTTATGCAATTAACATAACAATCGCGCCCAAGTGAAATCGCTGGCTGAGACAATTCCCACATCATGGCTGAGATATAAAAAACAATCGTAACGCCAAGAAATCGCACTTACGATGACGATTCTCTTCTGCGTCGGCTGCAAATTTTTCTAGGTTTTCAAATTTCTCTTTTTGTCTTACTACCTCTAATGGCAAATCGGGCCTCCGCCAGCTAATCTGCATAATAATGCTTATTATTTTTAATTGCCGCAATTTGCCACATCAGGCAGCCCTTGATACACGCCCACACAGCCACATGTCTTAGTCTTGAATGAGAACATGAAGAACCCCAGTCGGAAGTTTTGGAGTGGTCGGTTTTCGGAATGCATCCGGCTCGCATCTTTGTCCACAGTAAAAATGCGATACAATGTTGGACAGCATCCAGAATGCATTCTAGATGCAACTCAAGTCATCACTCCCCTATAGGTTCTTTTGGAAGGCAAAATGGGAGCGATCCGTGCAATCGTAGCTTCTCGTACGTCGCAGCCGAACCCTTGCCGAAACCCGAACGCTTGCCGATCGTTCGCTTTTTTTTCAATCGGTGCAATTATAGCATCCACCGGAATGCATCCGGAGTGCATCCATTGGAAAGGAAAATATGAAATAATAATCTTTGAAACGGTACTTTTGAAAAAAACAAATGAGAAGAACAAAAGAGACATAGCAAGAACGCGCGCGGTTTTTTCGTTTCTTATGCATTTCTTGTCACTTGCTTTTTGGAATTTGATCAGTTAAGTGTAATTGATTTTTCGGTTAAACCAATTTTAATCGTTTTATTTGTTTATAGTTCTTGAAAAACAATCATTTGAGATTTTTTGTGCCAAGTAAGTATAGTGCGGTGATAAGTGGAAATATTAAATAAAAAATAATACCTCTTAACGAGGTAAAATAACCATAACCAAATAAAAGTGTATTTTTTTAACCACACAAAAATAATTGTGTGTGTGTGTTTAATAAACAGAGTGCTTCTAAAATAATTCTTATTCGGCCACTGCATCGCGTTGCTTAAGGTTTTTACATATGCACAATGTTTGTACATACAGTGAACCCCACGCATAATCGGACACCCATTTTTTTTCTATCATAAAACTGCTCTAAAATCATAAAAAAAAGTGAAACACAATTTTTTGGCTCTTATTTAAATTTTTGTGTTATCTATTAATAGCCTCCATATTTAAAACACACGTGTAAAAATCAATAAAAATCAATTATGACTTGTGTTTTAAATATGGAGGTTTTTTGTTTTTGTTAAAATATTAAGAGCTGTCAGTGGAAAGCTTAAATTTTTTTTTATGTTACTAATGAATAACATTTTAATTTTTAAATAAAGCAGTTTTATGTTAGAAAAAACGGGTGTCCGATTATGCGTGGGGTTCACTGTACCTGCAGTGTGCCGATTAAGAATTTTTCACAACATTGTACTAACTAATTATTGTTTTTATTCTTTGCATGACCTTATCTACGGATTTTTGACAACGGAAGAACAACAACATCAACAATTGTAAGTATAAAATTTAATTTTAGTTTTTGTGTAACAAAAGTGCCGTTTTGGTTTTAATTGTAGGCAAAAGGAAGGGTTCTCCACATTTGCTGCGTTGAACGAAGCTCTGTACGGTACTAACAAAATTTTAAAACTCTATATTTTGCAGAATCTCAGAAGAGGGAAGGCAGGAGGACTTTGTTAGAGACCTGCGAACAGCCTTTACTCGGCAAAAAAAACGGGTGTATAAGGAGTCTACACGGAGAAAGGCGACGACCAGTGCAGATAAAGGACCGGACAAGGACAACGAGATGGAAGACGATACTGAGGATGATGGAAAAGCAGTAGGCTTAATGTAATTGTATTAATTTTTTTATTAATTAATTTAAATTGCAAAAGAAAATTAAAGAAATAAATGTGAAATTTAAAAAAATCAAGTACACCAATTTTTTTCACTCGTGAAAGCCGCATTTAAAGGCACTCCAAAAGATGCGATCCAGAACGCATCTTTTGGATTGCATTCAGAAGCACATCAAAGATGCGATTCAGAACGCATCTTTTGGAATGCATTCAGAAGCATTCCAAAAGATGCGTTCTGGATCGCATCTTTTGGAAGGGAAAAATGGAAACCAATCCCGAACGTTTCCCGAAGTTGAAACCCATGGCCGATGCGTGAAAAGGGAGCGCTCCAGGAGCACTTCATCGGATAGCACCCATTTTGTCCCGCTTTGCTGTAAAAAGGAAGCGAGAAGTTCATCGTTCGGTCACGCATGCATCGGTGCTTTGGATGCTATCCATCATCCCTTCTGGATGCGTTCCACTTCCGACTGGGACGTTAATGATAGGGCTGGTCGAGGAGAATTTACTTGAATAATAAGTACAAGTTTTTGACGATTCATATTTAGCAAAGTGACTAATATAACAATTTTGTTTAATAATTAAAACATCTTAAATTTTTTGACGTCTTTAACTTAGAGCTTAAAAACTATCGACAGTTTTCTATTTCTCGATATATTGATTTTGGGTTTTCCCTTGATAGTCGTCCGATTTCGGTAAAATTTTATTCGAAATTCAGAATTAGATAAATAACACAGGCCGACAGTGTTTTTGGTGCAGCCCTATGGGCATTAAAATGTGTTAATATAGACGGGTATAAGCATATCTGCATACTTAGTTTTCGCGTTTAACGGGTGGTATTTGTGCAATCGCGGTTTGAAAAAAATAGCAACATTAATTGTTGTGATTTAAGATATCCTCGAGGGTCTGTGCTTAGTTGTAATAAAACCTATGCCAAAAAATTGCTTAGATGCCTTTCTACATAATTGCATTTAAGGTTCCATCATAATTTGAGTCAATCAAAGCCTATGAGCCATTGAAGTAATTTGTTCACCTCTATTCCTAACCAACTTGATGCGGTGAACAGGCTTAAAAAAATACAAGGAAAAATATGTGCCCTAAAATATTTGACAGGCATCTAGAGGCGTCTTTCACCGAATTTTTAAGATAAATAAGACCATTATACGTCGAAGGATGGAATTTATAGAATTTTTTTCATAGGAACGTAAAAAGTAACAAGTATTTTTGAGTAACTATTACGTAACGAGTTGGTCGTGACTTCACACAGTAGGTTTTTTAAAGATAACAGTGGCGTAGTCTTAAAATTGTGGGGGGAGATATTTAACAGGCATACTAACCCCTTGAAAATACAATTTTTCGATGTTCGGCGCCTACTGCTAAACAAATTGAAAGGCAAATTTCTACGAATGTGTCAGATATTTATGTAAAATGGAATTTCAAAATTCTTGTTACTTTTCCCGTTCTTACGGAAAAAATTCTATAAATTCCATCCTTCGAAGTACAATAGTGGGTTTTATCTTAAAAATTCGGAAAAAGTCGTCTCTAGATGCCTGTCAAATATTTTACGGCACATATTTTTCCTTGTATTTTTTTAAGACTGTTCACCGCATTAAGTTGGTTGTGAATAGAGGTGAACAAATTACTTCAATGGCTCATAGGCTTTGATTGACTCAAATAATAATGGAACCTTAAATGCAATTATGTAGATGGGCATCTAAGCCATTTTTTGGCATAGGTTTTAATACAGTAGGGCAAAGACCATCGAAGATATCTTAAATCAAAACATTAAATGTTGCTATTTTTTCAAACCGCGATTGCACAAATACCACCCGTTAAACGCGAAAACGAAGTATGCAGATATGCTTATATACGTCTATATTAACACAATTTAATGCCCATAGGGCTGTACCTTTTAATAAAGTCCATTTTGTTGACCTGTGTAATTGTATTTCCGAAAGTAGGAGGTTAAATGTTCAAAAACACCCAAGATATCATTTATTATAGAGAAGTTTTTAGCAAACTCGAGGTCATGCCGGCGTAGACTTCAAGAAGTCCAAGGCGTCGGCATTATGCCAAACACCCAAAAAGGAGCGAAGAGGCTTCACTGTACATGCATTAAGGCTATCGCGATGAAACTTTCCCGAAAGTCTTCTTTCTATTGCAGGTAGTACATATGTCGGAGCGAGTCGGATCGGACCACTATATCTTAAGGCTCCCATAGAAAAATTCAAACAAATATAAGAAAATTCATTGTAACTTTGTATGAAGTAGGCGTTTTGATTCTTGACTACTTAAAAACAAAATTTAAATAAATAGAAACGCTGAATCTGGAATCCCTGGAACTGCACCGAGTAAGCATTCTTTAATCTACAAGGATATATAAGCTTCGGCTGGCCGAAGGTAGCTTCCCTTCTTGTTTTACATTTTTTCCTCCGATTATTCCTAAGGGAGCTATATAATATAGTTGTCCGATCAGGCTCGTTTCGACTTATATACTACCTGCAAAAGAAAGAAGAGTTTTGGGAAAGTTTTAACCCAAAAGCTTTAAAACTGAGAGACTAGTTTGCGTAGAAACAGACAGACGGACATGGCTAGATCGACTCGTCTAGTGATGCTGATCAAGAATATATATACTTTATGGGGTTGGAAACGTCTCCTTCACTGCGTTGCAAACTTCTGACTGAAATCATAATACCCTCTGCAAGGGTTTTTAGGTAATTTTTTGCACTTCCCGGGTATCTAGGTATCGAATCGGTTTGCTTCTTTTTTATACCCTTGCAGAGGGTATTATGGGTTTATTGGGGGAGCATTGCACAGTCCACCAATCTAGAGGCTATAGGGAAACGCCCAATTAAATGGTGAATCCCTCAGAGTAAATTCCTCCACTTACCCCTCTTTAAGTAATACTGGTTGCAGTGGCGTCGCCGACGCCGCCGGATGAACGCTGCTGCTCGCCTGGCTGGGCGTGGAGATCACCTCTAGAAAGTGCTTTACCGCATCAACATGCTGCCTTGTGCAGAACTTCTTGTACAGCTCGACGGTGAACACTTCCTTGCACTCCTGTTGCGATGACCGGGAGCTGACCAGGTTACCCAGCGATTGGATCGTCTTGGAGATTAGGGGCAGCGTGCGACTCGTCTGGGCATCCTGTGAATAACAAAGAATTATTATGCTTGACCATGAGAGATTGAACTGAATTACTCAAAGCTTATAAATATTCCCCTGTTTCCCCAGAATCTACTTACCAGGCGCTCGGTAGTCAGGTCGAAGAGCTTGGGTCCCAGAATCGCCGGTGCAAAGAAGCACAGGAAGATGAAGCCGGACACCACGGAGTATCGCACCTCTCGATTGCTGGGGAAATGCTTACCCGCACACTTTGCGATCGCCTCAAAAACCCGCTCCACATAGCCTCTGTGCGTCATGGAGCGGGGCTGCAGGTAATACCAGGCCGATGGGGAAACCGCCTGCTGCTCCTGCTTATTGAGCATTGGAAGCCGCACTTCGCCGAGGAATACTTTATCGGACATCGCTTCATGGGCATCGTGCCAAATGCTCACCACTATCTCCACCAGATCCGCTCCGCCCTGCGGATATATGGCGTAGCCCTTGTTGGCCGGGGATTCCAGGGAACCGGTGCTCTTATTACTCGGCATCGATATGGAGATCAAAGTACATGGCCTCGTCGAACTCCGGATCAATGGTCTTCTTGCGCTGCTTGGTCCGTCGCGTCACCTGCTGCTTGTTGCTGTAGTGGGCGGTGCAGACCACAAAAGGATCGCAGGTGCCCTGCTTCTTGGCGAGATCCACACAGGCTGGCACTTTGATGGTCACGCCAACGAATCTCCCGTGTAACTTCCAAGGAAGGGGCCGCCGCCCGCTGAATGTTGCACAGTTCGCTATTCTCCTTGTAATCGTTCAGATGCGCCCGCTGCTGGTTGCTGTGGTGGCTGTTGTGGTGGTGCGGCAGGTGCTGGTGGTGCGGCAGTGTGTGCTGGTCCAGATCGATGCTCTTCGAAAGAGACTGCGTCTGTTGGGCTTCCGCAAACGACACCTCCACATCGGCCATGCCCTGAAAAATTTATATGGTAAATATTTAACGTACTAAATGGTAATGATAAAGATTATAGTGCATGTACATCTAATAACTTTTATATTCACAATTTATCAAACTTAACGACTAAACTCCCTGACACACAAAAAAATTTGCTTGGTAAAACTAACCAATATAGTTCAGTAATTATAAACAAGAAAGGAAGCTAGCTTCGGCCAGCCGACGCCTATATATACATATATATATATATATATAACCTATAGGTTACTTTTAACTCCCTTGTATTGGTTTTGCCATTTGTTCCATTAAGGGCCGGTTTCTCGAGTGCCGGCTAACATTTCTCGAACAGATAAAGTCCCTGCTAAGGCATTTTGACTTTCTCGAGCATCAATGTGAGAGCTAACTTTGACAGGGATTCGGAGTCCCTGTTAAGCGTTTTCGGCTCGATAGAATGACAGCTGATTTCTTAAAGCCAACTATGAAGAAGAAACGAAATTACAGCTGACTTTTCCTTAGAATTATACCCAAACAGCTGATGAAATAATCGAAGCAGGCCATTTTTCGCGCTTTACAATACAATTCTGTGCGTTAACAGCACTCTGTAATTGTTTCTCGTTCAGATAAATTAAAGCAGTCGAGAAAGCGTATTTGCTTTTATAGCAAATCCGGGGACTTTGACAGGGACTCGAGAAACCGGCCCTAAGTTGTTAAATATGTACAATCGATCAAAAGTGTGGCCGACTTGATGCAGTGAAAAGAGAAAATCAAATCAAATCGAATGCTGAATTAAAAAAATAAAAGTCTTCAGCCGAGGCTGGGAAAATGATAAATGCGAAATGAAAACAACGCAAAATGTATGTTTTTTCGAGCATAGTTACTTTTTTTTATCTACACGCATAATTCGTATATATAGGGGAGAGGTCTGTAGGTTGGTACACCTTTTTGCTTTTAATCTGCCATTTCGACATTCACTTATGAAACTTTACGCATTTGGTACTGATCGAAAGGTTATTCTATTAGCCTAATAAAAAACAAAAAAAAATATTTTTTTCCTTAGGGAAAACTGAAAAATTATTTTTTTTGAAAAGTCGCCAAAAACCGACATTTTGAAAAAGAGGTCTGTAAGTTGAGACACTTTTAAAAGTCAATAATACTCACACAAAAAGTACTCCAAGCTATAAGGAACTATTTATTTATGTAAATTTAATCAATTTTAGTTCGTCCTAAATTATTTCCCATCCATTTTTTAAGAACTTAGACCAAATAACAATTAAAATCAAAAGGCTCTTTGAACATTCACTTTTCCCCTAATATCAAAGAAATTTACTAGGCAGAAAGCGACCTCTGTTGGCCTAAGGCCTTTTTGTATGAAAAACGGGTGTCTCAACTTACACGCTCAAAGTGTCTTAACTTACACAAAATGGGATGTTTCGGGAAAAAATTAATAACTTTTGTTCTGACTGTCACATTAAGCTGATTCTTTTTATACCCTTGCAGAGGGTATTATGATTTCAGTCAGAAGTTTGCAACGCAGTGAAGGAGACGTTTCCGACCCCATAAAGTATATATTTTCTTGATCAGCATCACAAGACGAGTCGATCTAGCCATGTCCGTCTGTCCGTCTGTCCGTCTGTCTGTTTCTACGCAAACTAGTCTCTCAGTTTTTGAGCTATCGGGACGAAACTTTCGCAAAAGTCTTCTTTCTATTGCAGGTAGTATATATGTCGGAACCGACCGGATCGGACAACTATATCTTATAGCTCCCATAGGAAGGAAACGTTAAAAAAATTCTAGCTTCGGTGTTTTCTCAAATATTATCTTCTATTCTTGGGAATATTATTTTTTATATGTTTCTGAATTTCGAATTAAATATTTAAAAAATCGGATCACTATATCATATAGCTGCCATAGGAACGGTGGAAAAATTAAATGTAAATTAATCGGAAAAAAATTATATCTTTGTTGATTTTTATTACATTCTCTTCTACTCTGGGATATGATTATTTTTAAATATTTCCGAATTTCGATTTTAATTTTAAAAAGATCGAACTACTATATCATATAGCTCCCATAGAAACGCTTGCAAAATTAATGTGAAATAATAGGAATTTTAACATTTTTGCGATTTGTAAATTAATAGAATGATCTGCAAGGGTATATAAGCTTCGGCTGGCCGAAGCTAGCTTCCTTTCTTGTTTTAATTAGTTAACAGTTAATATACTAATGTTTTAAATCTCTTACCAAGTTAATTTAAGGACGTTATTAATTTTAAATGGAATTTTGAAAAAAGTAGACAAAAACTTTTTTGGTGAAAAATGGTACACGACTCTCACAGCTTTAATCTGGCTAGAGCCTGGCTTATAATGTTTTCCCCAAAAGTTTTGTCACTAAAAAGGACCAAAAACAAGAAAGGAAGCTAGCTTCGGCCAGCCGAAGCTTACATACCCTTGCAGATCATTCCTATTAATTAACAAATCGCAAAAATGTTCAATTTTCTAATATTTCTCATTTATTTTCCGATCGTTCCTATGGCAGCTATATGATTTTGATCAAATTAAAATTGAAATTCGGAAATATTTAAAAAGAGTTATATCCTAGAGTAGAAGATAATACAATAAAAACCAAAGAAGCTAGAATTTATTTCCTATTACTTTTCCATTAATTTTCCGATCGTTCCTATGGCAGCTATATGATATAGTCGTCCGATTTTTATCAAATTAAAATTGAAATTCGGAAATATTTAAAAAGAGTCATATCCTAGAGTAGAAGATCAAATAAAAACACCTCTTAACGAGGTAAAAAACTAGTGACGATCGCACCTTCAACATACAAAAGTTCTGATATCAACATTTGTGACGAAAAATTATTACACTCGTCTTTAAATAGACTTTCTAATATTTTCTCATTCGGCCCGCCCTAGCAAACTATTCTAGCCTTTTTCCCTTCACAGGCATTTTCTATTTAATGACGAGTGTAATAATTTTTCGTCACAAATGTTGATATCAGAACTTTTGTATGTTGAAGGTGCGATCGTCACTAGTTTTTTACCTCGTTAAGAGGTGTTTTTATTTGAAATCAGAAGTTTTTGTTTGTTTACATTTGCTCTCATAGGAGCTAAAATATACATTTAAATTTAAATTGGTCAATCATAATTTGTAAGCCATTGTATTTAAACAAATTAAGTTAAAAAGGCGTTTAAGTATTTCAAAATACCTTTTAAACGAGGTCCCTGCAAGCAAACGGACGATATTTCTATCGCCTATCGTCCAGAAGTCACTTCTTAGTAACTTCTGGAAGATAGAAACACGACAGAACACATTTTACAAAAACAAAATATACATCTATCGCGAAGAAATCACTTCTTGGTCACTTCTGGACGATTAAAATACGATAGAACACATTTTACAAAAACAAAAAGGGTCACGATCGTGGAGAAGTAACTTCTAAGACACTTCTAGGCGATAGAAAGACGATAGAACACATTTTACGAAAACAAAAAGGGTTCAAATCCAGTGTTGGGAAAGGTACTGTGTTTTTTTACCTAGGTAAGGTAAAAGGTATTGGGCAAAAATAAATACCTAGGTAAGGTAAAGGTACTTCAATTTCCCAGTACCTAGGTAAAGGTATAAGGTAAATATATTGTTTTTTTTTTAATTTTTATAATTTTTTGTTTTGTTCAATGTAATCATTTAAACTTAAAATAAGACTAGTTTTCAGTTTTTAGTCGTCTTAATCAAACAATATCTTTTCATTTCATTTAAATTTAAATGTTTTAATTTTGTGCATATATTTTTAAAACACGCGGCATGAATAATTGTATGCACTTCATTAATGTATTTATTAAACCCTCATGTACATATTTGGCGCGCAAAAATTCCGTATGTAGAAACATTGACTATGTATATGTATATGCCGTTTGTTTACGTACATACGGCATTTTTGCGCGCCAAATACACTTTGGTTTCATAAATAAATTGATGTAGTGATGGGAACATACATACGTGCACAAAATGATATAAAATAAAACAAAACAAACCATAGAACGGCTGAATTCCAATGACTTTTAATGCTGCGTTCCGACTATTACAATTTCGAAACGAAACGATACAATGAAACGGTACTACAGTGTCGCAGTCAGGTATATAAAAATCTGTAGCTAGGTAAGGTAAAAGGTACTCAATTATTTTTATACCTAGGTAAGGTAAAAGGTACCACTAAATTGTACCTAGGTACATACCTAGGTAAAAGTATCTAGGTATGTCCCAACACTGTTCAAATCGCGAGGAAGTAACTTCTAAGGCACTTCTGGACGATAGAATGGCGATAGAACACATTTGACTACCTAAAAAGGGTTCAAATCGCGAAGAAATAACTTCTGAGGCACTTCTGGACGATAGAATGGCGATAGATCAAATTTGACTAACTAAAAAGGCTTGCGATCGCGAAGAAGTAACTTCTAAGACACTTTTGGGCGATGAAAAGGCGATAGAACACATTTTACAAAAACAAAACCAATGGGAAAAAAACATCTTCCAATTCACTTCTGGAAGTTAAATTGAAGACAGAAAGGAATTTGGTTTTATTTTTTTGAAGTCTTTGGGGTACAGTCCGCTCTTGGCTCTCTCTTTATACCTGAAAACTACCCTTTTTTCTCTTTGACCTACGCACTTTGTATTTTGAATTCGAGCGTCAGTTCGTTTCGAGATTTCTTTGTGATCAGTGCGATTTATTCTAAATTTCTGTGTTTGTGATGAAATGCGGTGAACCCGATATTTTTTAAATATTACATACCGGTGGAATATAAATAAAATACAATATTCATTTACATCAAAAATTAAAGTGATTGAGGAAATCGAGATTTAAGCTTGTACAAGACTGTCATGCGAAAGCAAAAGGAATTACTTGGCGTGAAACTCTGGGCAAACCGAAAGCTTAACAATACTCCACTTATTTAATTATAAAAGGTAAATACCTCCTCCGATTTTTATATGGCACAATATTAATTATTTTTTTGTTGT